CTTGTGGGACAGAGCCCTGAACTTACGGAGTCTGCATAACTCTGGGTAGTGAATTGGTGAATTGAATCATAGACACTCTGCTAGTGTGGACGAGTTGGCTGCTGGGGTGGAAACATCCCCCACACATCTGGTGTCGGAAAACAGCACTCACTAGGCCATGTTTGCAAAATTTACTTGTAAATCAAATGCCAGGAAACTCCTACTTAAAAACTACCAGGGATTCTCAGTCGGTGTGAGATGACACTTATCAAAGTCTCTGGTAAAGGGTACTATTCAATCCATACACTTTCTAGAAGATTCTGTCGTGGTTCCACCAGAGATGCCACAAATGGGAAGGCACTGTAAATGTGAAGTGTCAGCAAACGCACCAAGGGGTTACGTTCTGTGGTCAGCTCCCGAAAGCCCAGCCAACCCGGAAGGTAGCCGCCTCAGAAGACTGACCGCCCAGCCTGATGGGAGGAGGGGGAAGGAGAAGGGATTTTCCTCTCCCAGTTTCCAGCAGCCAGGCCAGCCCCCTGTGTCATCTCCCAGCAGGTGGAGTTTGTCTTTTGCATCTTCCTTTTCTGAGCCCTGTCCCCAGCATCTGTCTGTGCCTCTCTCCCTTGGCCCGTCTTGCTGCTCGGAGCCCTCACCTATGCGACCTTGCCCGCCCATGTCTACCTCAAATTACCTACCGCCCTCATCCCGTCCCTGACCCAAATCAAAGCCCCCGCTCCTTTAGCGTAGTTCATTGGCCCTCAAACGTCACTGTACTTAACAAACACATTCACTTTTTAAAAAATGCCTGGTCTCACCCTCAAATATTTCAATTCTGTTGCCTACGGTAACACTGCAGGTGGTTCTAACATGCACCAGGGCTGAGAACCCCGACTGAATGCTAAAAGTTTCAGATAGCATTTATTCACCCCAAAAGTGTGAACTACTGATGAGTACTTATTAGCAGATATTGGTAGAATTTAAGGCAGTAGTTTAATGAAAAAGTTTAAGCAGCAATTTTTAGATTTGGGGAGAGGCCAGCCAATACATAAATAATTTACCTGCAATAAAGGGGCCTGAACTATTCTGACGTTTTGCACCTTCTTCCCTTCCTCCATGTCTGAACTCACAGCCTTTAGAAATTCCATGTCCCCCATGTGTCCCCACACTCCCACCTCCAGCTCCCATCAGATGCAGCTGATGAGAAGTCTGAATAAGGACAGGGCTGGTAGTGATGCCATAGAACTGGCCACACACTCTCTCTCCATGGACTGCTCATAAGTCGGACTTGTGTACTTAATTCTCCTCTTCCTTCAGGGGAATGCACTGCGGGTGTGTTAGAGAGCAGACTTCAGAAGTTAAAGGCTTTAGAGTTGACAGTTGATCCCCACAACCCCTCATCTTTCTTCTCTCACAAATGCAATCTCCACCACGGATTGGGTACTTGCCGCTAATGTGCTCACAGGGGACAAAGGCTGGCCAGGCTGTGGTGCTGCCCCTCTGCTCTCCCTCCGGTAGCTTTTTCATTTGGCAGACAATTCTTGTTCTATTCTTAGCACTAACACAGAAATCGAAGAAGACTTAAACCAAAAACCCAATGTGGTCCCTACTGTAGTGCTTGCTGCATTGAGGAATTTCAGGAAAGCACAGAGGGAAGTGGCATTGGACTTGGCACACCCAACCCAGCTACACCAGGATGCACAGGGTCTCCAGATCCAAAGCTTGCCCACAGGGGTGCAGACATCTCTCTGGGGAGGAGTTCCCCCTAGAGTGGAAAATTTTGTCATCTGTCTTTAGATTCAAGGTGCTGCACACCTAATAGAGTCACCTTTACCTCATGCTTCATCCGCATTGTCTTCCGTGACTTTCCATTTTGTGAAGGGGAACCAGAGGGACAGAGATGTCAACCAGCTCACCCTACCTGAACCTAAAGCCCAAGCTCGGAACCACCTAAAAACTCATCCATTTCATGGAGAAATATTCTCAGAGATCGGCTTATAATATTCAGAGCTATAGATTTGATATCCCTCAAATTAAAAATGTGGAGAAAATATGTTAATTCAATGCTTTTCTATCACTTCCTAAATTAAGACCAACATATCTTGGTAAAAGAGGAAGAAAAGATAGCAGGAAGTATAAATCGCATGGGGTAATACTGTATACTTTTGTGGATGAACCATTACTCATGAGCAACTTTGGGTTCCTGAGTCCCTGAAGACCCATGCATCCTCATGCTCACATCTGTCAGCCACCAAGAGCAGGGAAATGTCCCTAAGCCTGTGGTTCCCAAACTGTGTGCCCAGGCACCCTGAGCCACTGCAGCAAACTCCCAGGGCCACTGCAGGATTTTATAATTCCGAGGGACACTCATCAATGTTGGATCTCTGGACACCACGTGGACTCCTAGTTTGTTAGAGTTCACAGTTTTACACTAGCTCAGTGTTAGCTCATGCTTTATTCCTTTTGATGATATCTTTGGGGAAGCTGAGGTTTTGGCTGTTGCTGTGATAAAAAGTATGGAGTGAAAATCAATGTGAAACCAGATGTGAGGGTGGCATTATCCAGTCTGATTTCAAGGTTGGAGGAGTTATGCAGGGCCCAACGGGTCCACACCACCATTAGCAAGTAATCATGGTTCCATAGGAATGAAACAAAAATACTATTCTTTTTCTTTCAACTTATGTTGGTTTTTCGAATGGCCACTCAGTTGTTAGGACATACAAACTTAAATTTCTCAGACCTACCTACTTAATAAATATTGCTGTGAGGAATTTATTTGGCCTTGAGACTGTGAAAGAAAACTGAGACAATGGGGTCACTGTGAATGGAGAGTTTTGGAACCTCTACCCTATGTCTCCGAGCTGCTCACACAGCCACGGGGGGCATCCCGGAGGTCTCTACCTTTACAAGGTGGAGGGGTGTGATTCCAGAAGGGAACCAGGACTCACAGCCGTCCCCGCCCCCATGTTGCCTGGAAATTGACCTGGAGGTCAGCACAGACCAACCTGTTCTTTTTTAGCTTCCCTGGGAAGGAAAGGCCTCGGATCGCATCAAATGGAGAGCAGATTCCCGGAGGGTGGGCTGGAGAAGGTGGGGCTTTGCGGTTAATCAGCTGAGGAAGGAGGAACTCCTTTTTGAAAAGATAGTCTCTATCAGTAGAGAAGGGGGAGGAATGTCCTTCCGAAGACACCTCGGGGAGTCATCAATGAGGACTCCTTCATTGTGTGTGTGTGAGCCTGTGTGTGTGCCCGTGTGTGTGCCTGTGTATGTGTGTGTATACAGCGTGCACACACACAGGAGGACAGCTCACATGGGGAACCAACGGCTCCAGTGGCCGATGGGTGGCAAGGCCTCCTCAGAGAGGAACGGGAACAGTGCCCCGCACCGGGCAGGGTCAGCATCGGCAAGTGTGCCCGGGGCTTCCCTTCAGGAAAAAGTGGGGGTTGCTCTCAGTGCAAGTCTTTGAGGACAAGCGTGGGGAGCTGGCCCCTGAGGGTGGCCACACTGGTGAAGGAACTCAGGTGGGGACAGAGGCTTCAGTCCCGGGAACCGTGGCAATGGGGTCATCCCCAGGGCCGTCTCTGAGAATGCCATTTGGGGTGATACCCAACAAACAGCAGGTTGGAAGGGATGGTGGTAACTTGGAGAAATAAGACTCAATCTCCATGAAAACAACAACAAAAACGATGAGCCTTTTCCACAGGGGTGTGAGGGGCGAGGGGCTGACTCCCCCACCCCTCCGGGTTGGCGCTGCTCTTCCTTTCTGTGGGCTCAGACCCTGCTCTCACGGCCTGGGTTCCCAGGACCCCTCCTCACCGTCTGCCTTTCCTGGCCGGCCCCACTCGGGGAAGCCTACACCCGAGTTAATCCCCTGGACTTGTCCGCGGGGGTGGCCGGGTGTAGATGCCCCAATGGCCGTGGGAGATCCTGCTGCTCTGGATCACACACAGGTGAGGCTGGGACGGGGCCCCGTTATCTGTCGCTCACCCACAGGGCCCACTCTCCTTAGAGGGGAGAAGAGACCACTGCTGACCTATTTCAATGACTAAAGGAGTCATAAACCTCACAGGGGAGGGGAAAAGATATTTTTTAAAAAGGGATATAGGAGAAAAAAGACTGGGGAAAAGCTCCGCTTGGAACTTACTAGCCTGACCGTGGCACACCTGACCTGAGGGTCTGTGGGCCCGAGGAAGTCTGGCCTTCCACCTGTCTGCGTGGCTGGCCACCTGCCGAGAATGGTGGGGGCGATTGTTCAAGTCCCTTCGCTCATGGAGCAAGCCACCCCTGCACGTGGTGGGCTGCTCCCAGGACCACACTAGACAGAGGAGAAATGCTCACTGGCCAAGAGAGGATTAGCAGGCCGGTGGGAGCAGGCCATGTTTATTTCACCTTTGCTGGGAAACAGAGCAACAGACGGTCCAGAGAGAAAACAGGATTGAGAAGTGAGAACATGGCAAACACCATGTTGGCCTAGAGTGAAAGCCGATCTCTTATCACATCCCGAAGGGCTGGAGATCATCCCTTATTTGTAAGGTCTCTTCGGTTCAGACTGAACTAGAACGTCTCGTCAGCCACTAGGAATTTCAACAGGAGCTCTCATCTTTTTAATCTGACCAGATTTGTGGTTTTTGACCTTGTTCTAGATCACTGAGTGTTTGAGGGCAGGATATACGGTGGTAGGAAACCATGAACATCTGCATCTTACAGACAGCACCTCCTTTTACAGGAGGGGGCTTAGCTGGATGAAGACTGATGTATGTGCTGCCATCTGCGAATAGCAGAGTCAAGGCCTGATGAGTTCCCCCGTGCACTGTTACGAAGCTATCTTTATAACAACAGAGACGTAAAGATCACGGCTCCCTGCCAAGGCCACTGTAGCCTACTGCTGTGCTGGGTTGGATGCTTCATTCATCCAGGCAGGTTGGCTCTGGCTTAGTTCAGGAGACATAATTGCTTTTGTTACACATTCACAGGAATCAGGAAAAGACATTCTTTATGCTCCTTGTTTTCAATGCCCTACTTACCAACTTCATCCCTGATGTTTGCAAGTTCGATTGACAGCTCTTTTTCTTTCACAAGGGCACTTTCATTCTGAAAAAACAAAACGAATACCGACAGTCCCCTAGTTTTATGCTAGATAAGCACTTTCACATGTTTAATTAATGAATCATATTAAGCAAATATTTATAAGTCCAGCCCTTAAGGAGATAATTTTCTCATTATATAAGCATATAAAACTTACAAAGCCAAGTCTGACTCATTCATTTGTATCACATTCAAATGGCACAGCTTGCGAGATAATAGTCATAATACCCAGGGTTGTGCTTTTCTCTAGATCACACACATCTTGCAATGATTTTTTGCATGTTTATGTCCCCCACATTAATCTACTGTCACATATTATTATAACCTGTTAATTATTATCACTATTATGAGACTTTTGACCATAAAAAAGTCTGTGCTATATTTCTCTGAGGGGCAAACGCTTGCTTTACCAACTGTTCCTTCAACTTACCCTTTGTCCATACACGGTCAGCTGCCTAATGGATAACAAAGATCAGAGCAGAAGACTTAACATGAAACATTTCTCTTTGTAATGAGACCAACAATAATACTTAAGGTTTCCAGGTTTTTTGTTCTGCTATCAGCATCAACAGAAGGAAAAAGAGGAAATATCACACTTGAAGTATCACGTAGTGCAAAAAATGCCATGTGCAACTAAAATAAGTGACTGCTAAATTGTTTTCAAACCCAATGCGTTCTGTGACATAAAGTAGAGAAGTAGTTAAAGATATGCTGACTTTTTAGTCTGGGTTGTTGAGTCACCATAAACAGTTTATTATAATTTTATTACTAATAATAACTAGGAAAGATATGCTATAAAAATTCTCTTCAATTGACAGATACCAAAAGTACAGGCCTTGAAAGAAAGTCTGTCATTCTGTAGAAGCTATTTCAAAGCAAACATTTCCAGAGGGAATTTTGGCTAAAAAGTGGACCAAACACCTAGCATGAATATCGCCTGGGCCTTGTTGAATGTTCTTTCTTTGTTAACCACCTTCACCTTTGGTTTCAGTGCCTCTGAAGACCCGGTGCTAGGCAGTTCTCACAATCTTGTTCCTGAATCTGCTGCATTTAGTTGTGGGCAACAAGTGTGCTACTTTGGGTTTATAGGAGGATCCCAGGTTATTCAAAAGGCGTTTGCTAAGCAATGCCATAATATTCATAATGCCACAAATAAAACTCTATTTTAATAATAAACAGAGAGCTACTGTAGTCACAGGCATCAACTATTATTAGCCAATGGTTCTCTTAAGAAAATGACGCAATAGATCCATCATTTGAGAGACAGTGGATCCTGCTATGGTCTGAATGTTTGTGTTCCCCCCAAATTCATATGTTGAAATCCTAACCCCCCAAGGTGATAATATTAGAAGATGAAGACTTTGGGAGGTGATTAGGTCATGAGCCCTCATGAATGAGATTGGTGTGTTATAAAAGGGATCCCAGAGAGCTGCCTGGTCCCTTCTGCCATGTTTGGGTGCAGCCAGAAGGCGACGTGTATGAAAAAATGGCCCTCACCAGACACTGAATCTTTTGGAGCCTAGATCTTGGACATCCCAACCTCCAGAAATGTGAGAAATAAGTTCTGTTGTTTATAAGCTACCCAATTTATGGTATTTTGTGATGGCAGCTTGACCAGACTAAGATAGACCCAGACCAAGCCCCTCCCCATCTCATCCATGAAGCTCTCTCCTTCCTAGCCCATAGCATCCTTGCTTTCCTTGAATTTCAAGGCTAGCAATTACACTTGAGAGTGTATATTTTTTCAATCATGAAATGATGTTACCTCGATGTCATGCCCACTGCACAAGGTTATCATGAGGGTTAAATAAATTAATATATGTGATGTAGTTAGAATAGTGTCCAGCTCTTAGCAAGCTCATACAAATGTTAGTTGTTATAGTTCTGTTGTTTCCTTTTATTTCATTTGCAACTAGATAACATCCTACATATAAACTACCTAATTTAGTAGCTTTTCCATATTAATTATCTAATTTAGGTGCTTTTCCATATTAATTATCTAAATATGTTTAGAATTTCCATGTGAGTCTTATGCTCTATTTTTTTAAGCACCTTCCTGGTCTGCCCTGATTTTATTCTAAGTTTTGATTCGGTTCAAAGACCGGGAAACCCAGAACAGGGAAAGTGTCCTAAACAGACAGATCACAGGGATCGTATGCTTGTTTTAACAACAGCACAATATGGCCAGCTGGCAATGAACTTGTTACTATATGTTAAAAAAATTTGTTATTTTGAAGAGGGTTAATTTCAGTATTTACCTTGAAATAATCTTAAACTAGCAGAAAAACTAACTTGTTTCCATTAACAGGAATAATTCTGAACACTCATATCCTCTGATTCCTAAACACAGCCACAGTATTGAAATACTAGTCTTATCAGTCCAGAAATAGCATTACTACAGTGCTCACTCTCAGAGCGATGAGAGTTGCAAAGACTTAGACCAGACCAGGCAGTGAACAACCAGAACGTCACAAAAATAACAAACTAACTCTAGTTTCTAACCCAAAGCCAGCGTTTTCAGCCCCCAGTAGTGGTCCCTATTGGATATCAACAGTGTCAAGCCCTAGGGTTCTCCCATATCGTAATAAATCAGTCTGCGCTTTCCAGCCACAGGAGAATCAGGCATTTGGGGAAGGGGTGGCTGGGAGCCTCTTGAGGGGGACAGGCTTGCTGGGGACAGGGCTGACCAGGGAGGAGATTGCTGATGAAGACCTTCAGATGAGAATCACTTTGCCCTGTGGCCAGGCCCTCCCCACCCATCTGTTGCTTTAGGAGAAACACAGATAAGATTGAGGGGAACAAAGTGAGAGAATAAAAGAAAAGAAGCAAGAAAAGAAAGGGAGGGGGTGGGGGTAGAGATGGACAGAGAAGTAGGAAGGAAACAGAACTGAGATTAGAGACCTTGTACCCTCTCCATCTGGGGACACAGGGGCCATGGAAGGAGGTAAGAGAGAATGAAGATGGCCCCGCCCACCCCAGCCCCACCCTTTTACAAGCTCAGGCTATAAAACCAACCAGTTTCAAACTACAGTTATCAAGTGGCTGCCAAACATAAGCAACAAACCTGATGGCTAAAATGCCAAGGAAAAGGACTAAACTCTGGTATGTTCTGGCTAATTATTTAAACTCCGGTAAGTTTTGATAAGTGTTATTTACTAATTACTAAGGGTTATTGATGCTGACCTTTACCAAACCCTCTCTATGGTCCAGACACAGTGTTAGGTAAGCCTTTTACCTCATTTACTCCTCCAAACACTGTCCGGGGGCCTTGGGACTTGGTTTTATTTCCCTTTATGGAGAAGGATACTGGTTGTCTTTGGTGAAGTGCCCGGCCCCTGCACAACCCACCAGGAAATGGCAGAGGCAGGGGTTTCAACCCATCATCCACGCTCTTCATCAAACATGAACACACCAAGAATCTCCCCTCCTACTCATGCTTAGATAGATGCAACATCAAGGTTCAAATCTCACTGATCCTCAGGTTGGATCCAAGCACTTGTTACCACAAAGCTTTTCAGGTCTAACTGGACGAGAGGCAGAGTCAGCTCCTGACCACTCTGTTGCAATGAAAGAATTCCCTGGCTTCATTCACACCCCACCCCACAGCCTGAGCTACCTGTGTCTGTCCTTGGTGTTGATGTGTGGGTTGCATGTCGGTATTATCCATTTCCAGCATTTGGACCCATGTTAGCATAACCTGCATGGACTGTAACTTCTGATAGGGTAGCTATTTAGTTTTCCCCATGACCTCTAGAAGGATGCTTTCTGAAGGCCTCTGGATATATGCCTGCTAAAGATGCTGGCAAAGCTCACCTCTGCCTCACAGAGGCCAGCCTGGGCAGTTTGGCAACAGCCCTTCTTCCTTAAGTGCTTGTTTTTGAAATGATATCAACTCTTCTGATTTATGAATTCTCTGCATCAAGTAAGTAACTTTTTGCTTCCTGCAAGCCAAACCAGAATGACATAGTGCTAGCCTGCAATGAAATGAGTCAACAGCTACGATTGCAGTAACACTGTTCCTTAGGCAAGAGGTGAACTTAAAGGAACCTTCGACTCATGGCTCCTTGCCTCAAAAAGTTATCCCTCTATCCATCATGGCTCAACTGTCCAGCATGGTCTTGCAAGGCCCTTAGGTTCTGTCAAACACTGAGGACTCCCTTTGAAAGGATATCAAATCACCATTCCCCTTCATTCCCCAACCTAAGCCAGGTCCAAGGTGATGACACCACGGGATGACTGAAATATGAGCAAGGCCGCCCAGGGTTAGATCAGTGCTTCTCTAAACGGGGGATGAGTGGAAAATTCCTAACTGGTGCCAAGTGCATGAGCTCCTGTTTTCACTCAAGATGGCTAAAAATAGAACTCAGTATTAACCATCCAAACTATCCTGGTGATACAGTCCAGAGATCGCAAAGCCTTAAGAAGGCCATTCCTCTAAAATTTCTGTTTACTCCATGACAGGCTTAACTGGAATTGGACACTCATGGAACATTCATCCAAGCCCTGAGCCAGCAGCTGCATCTTCTTAGCTACCTCTTGTATTTGGCCATGTACCTCTCTCCTCTGCACTCTGCGTTCCCTATTCACTTCAGCAGGAAATATATCTTATTCACAGATGGAATGCAAGATGAGTTATTCCCATGAACCAGCCAACTCACCCCCTACACCTCTTGCCGTAAACATACCCTTGCAAGTCTGCTACAGTGAAGCTTACGCATCTTTGTAGACATGCCTCCCAATGCTAAGGCTTCTCACAGGGTGAAAAGAGTGCTGCCTTTCACCTCTCCTAGCTAGAGAAGCCTGGCAAAGCAGACAATCTACTAATCGTTCCATTAACCTCAAGCAACTGGATGTGCGGCCAAGCCCCAAGCAATCCTGCCACACTCTGTTATTTTAACATGCTTGGTCAGTGGGAATTATCTGCTCAGATGGTTGATGCTACTGTGCGAACCTGGTGGTCATAGGAAGTGAACGTGCTTCTCCTGGTTAGCATCACCCATGTGACT